AGCTAACCATGGAGCTAACGCTGTAGGCTACTGGAGAGAATATGTGTAACGTAATGTCCTTGTGGTAACCCCTGCGAGAGAGAAAGGTTTGAGCTCCATACTGTTTCAGAAATAAAGCTTGAAGTGGTTAGGAGCATAACATGGCATTTATTCACCGCAGCGTTTAGCTGAGATCTCCCGGTAGAAATCTCTAGCAGGGGACGTTACAAAGGGGCGTGGCTAGCAGCAGCCATTCAATTGAAAGCAGAATCAGCCTGTTTGCAACAGGGCTGCAAAAGAAGGGTATGAGCAGTATGAGGCATGGCTACAATGGGTGATCTGTTTGGTATTTTAAGCAAAAAACTTCACAGACATGTTTTGTATAGGTAAGGCCCTACAATATATTTTTCCAATATAGCATAATAGGTCCACTGGAATTTAATAATATATATATATATTTATCGGGAACTGTATTTTTTTACTTTCAGAAAATGTTCATATGAATCTTTGGTACCACTTTACAATAAGACTACCCTTATAAAGGGTTTACGAATAGTTTGTAATTAATTTATTAATTAGGTTGTGAACACTTTATAAGTCATTAATAAGCTTTTATAAGACATGAGATAAACAGGGCAACTGTGACCGGTTGCTTGCCAAATAGTGAGCCCACATTTATCTGTACTGCTAAGCCTTATATTGGCTACCTAGCTTACTTCATCTTCTTCATCAGCCAGCATCCTTGGTATCTGTTGTTCACTGAGTTGATTCTCGCTAAGTAGCCAATCTAAGGCTTATAGTCATCTTGCCAAATAGTGAGCCTGTGTTGATGTATAGAACTGGTTTATAAATGGTTCTTAATGATTAATAAATTGTTTACAACCTAATTATAAACCCTTTATGAATCCTTTATAAGGGTAGTCTTATTGTAAAGTGGTACCGAATATTTTATGTCATGGTCATATTGGTCGTTTTAGAGGTCGCTAAGAACCTATTTTTCCTTTTTCTGCCAATGTGTGTACCAAATCTGCAGAGGTGGGAGTAAGTCCTACATGTGCAAGTCATGAGCAAGTCTCAAGTCTTGACCTACAAGTATCAAGCAAGTCCCAAGTCACTGTGGTGAGAGTCAAGCAAGTCAAGTCATTGCTCAGGTCAAGCAAGTCAAGTCAAGTCATACGAAATTCTGATGAATAAGCCCAGTTTCCGCATTTAAATCAGTTAAAAGACAGTGGTTATGAAAATGGATTTAACCCACACTATGATCTTCATTACATACACAGTTAATAATTTGAAATCTAATTTAGACCGATGGCAATCATATTAGATTAATATTAACCCCAGAACTGCAGACAATATAGCTAGGACTCAATCAAAAAGTCTGTTCAAAAAGGCAGAATTCCAGGTAAGAAAACCATATATGGCATTTGCCATTACACATATTTAATTTAAATTTCTGTTAACACTAGAACCGCCAACAGCGTCAGCACCTACATAGATATCATTTTCAAATCATTTAATTTGTTCCTCTTCATAATTTCCTTATAAACTAAGTAGGACGATTTAAAACTCACTTAATTGGGTTAATTTAGAAATTGCTTCAGTTTATCATCGTAACAGATCAAAAAGTTCAGATTCATTTTTACAATAAATCAAAGAATGATGCACTTCTACAAACAAAAACAACATAATTAAAACATTTAAACAAACTACTAAAAGTAGATGAACTACATTATTCAACAGTTTACAGTAACTTCTGATAACACAGGGGAAATAAACGAGGCATCTCTTTTCCTCTCTCTCTCTCTCCCTCTCCTGACAGCCCGTCAGTATCGGGGTTAGTACAAATGAATCCCTTGGCGGTTCTAGTGTTAATTTACCGTTTTGCAGAGGTGGGGACTCGAGTCACATGACTTGACTCGAGTCAGACTCGAGTCGCATATTTTTTGACTTGAGACTTGCTTGACTAACATTGATAAAAGACTTGACTTGACTTTGACTTGGTATTCATGACTTGAGACTTGACTTAAGCTTGAGACAGATGACTTGAAAGGACTTGACTGTTTAAAATTAAATATTTGCGTTTGTTTTTGTAGTGAGATATTACGTTTAGTTTTTTTGAAAAATGTGATTGGGTGATTATAGCGCCGTGCGCGCAAACCTGGCAACCCACTAGACCGCAGGAGTGTCAGTTAACATGGCAGCAGCTAGCGTTACTCCACAAATAGTGAAGTTTGGATTCAAGGATTATGTTGTCGATGACGCTAATAAGAAGAGAACAGCGGTATGCAGGGTCTGCAGCATAAAGATCAGTGACACGACCACCACAACACCCAACTTCATTCGTCACTACAAAAAAACCCACAGAGAAAGGTGCGTGAATGTGTTGTGTTAGCTAGAAAGCTAACGTTAAGTTTAAGCTACGTTAGACTTGGTTTCAAATCGATTAAGCATTACAAAGAGACAAAAACGGTAAATTAACACTAGAACCGCCAAGGGATTCATTTTGACTAACCCTGATACTGACGTGCTGTCAGGAGAGGGAGAGAGAGGGAAAGAGATGCCTCGTTTATTTCCCCTGTGTTATCAGAAGTTACTGTAAACTGTTGAATAATGTAGTTCATCTACTTTTAGTAGTTTGTTTAAATGTTTTAATTATGTTGTTTTTGTTTGTAGAAGTGCATCATTCCTTGATTTATTGTAAAATGAATCTGAACTTTTTGATCTGTTATGATGATAAACTGAAGCAATTTCTAAATTAACCCAATGAACTGAGTTTTAAATCCTAGCTATATTGTCTGCAGTTCTAGGGTTAATATTAATCTAATATGATTGTCATCGGTCTAAATTAGATTTCAAATGATTAACTGTGTATGTAATGAAGATCATAGTGTGGGTTAAATCCATTTTCATAACCACTGTCTTTTAACTGATTTAAATGCGGAAACTGGGCTTATTCATCAGAATTTCGTATGACTTGACTTGACTTGACTTGACCTGAGCAATGACTTGACTTGACTTGCTTGACTCTCACCACAGTGACTTGGGACTTGCTTGATACTTGTAGGTCAAGACTTGAGACTTGCTCATGACTTGCACATGTAGGACTTACTCCCACCTCTGCCGTTTTGTCTTCTCTTTGCAATGCTTAATCGATTTGAAACCAAGTCTAACGTAGCTTAAACTTAACGTTAGCTTTCTAGCTAACACAACACATTCACGCACCTTTCTCTGTGGGTTTTTTTGTAGTGACGAATGAAGTTGGATGTTTTGGTGGTCGTGTCACTGATCTTTATGCTGCAGACCCTGCATACCGCTGTTCTCTTCTTATTAGCGTCATCGACAACATAATCCTTGAATCCAAACTTCACTATTTTTGGAGTAACGCTAGCCGCTGCCATGTTAACTGACACTCCTGCCGTCTAGTGGGTTGCCAGGTTTGCGCGCACGGCGCTATAATCACCCAATCACGTTTTTCGAAAAAACTAAACGTAATATCTCACTACAAAAACAAACGCAAATATTTAATTTTAAACAGTCAAGTCCTTTCAAGTCATCTGTCTCACGCTTAAGTCAAGTCTCAAGTCATGAATACCAAGTCAAAGTCAAGTCAAGTCTTTTATCAATGTTAGTCAAGCAAGTCTCAAGTCAAAAAATATGCGACTCGAGTCTGACTCGAGTCAAGTCATGTGACTCGAGTCCCCACCTCTGCAAATCTGCATCATCCATCTTGATCTTTTTTACTTCCCGCAGCGGGGAAATGTAGACTGAAGCTAAAGGGACAGTCCAGAGAAGAGCCAAAACATAACAAGAGTAAGATCGCATATTAGCATTTAAATGCTGACAATATAAAGGTGTTGATATTGTATATCATGTTTGACAAAGTACTTATATATGATGTTAAATTATTGGGACTGATCGTATAGTTGAGTCAGTGCAGGTGTGTCTCAATGTATGCCAATGAGAGGGAATTCCTTCCCTTTGGAAAAATCTTGTCTTTATATGTAAGTATAATTGAATACACCATCAGTAGAACATAACCTTGACGGATTTGGATTGGGTCATAGAGACAAAACAAATTAAATCAGTTGGATTTGTTCTGAGGTTGATTCTACATTCATTGTGAGAGGCCTCTACCACTGCAGCTTCATTTAACTCCCAAAACAAGAACCGGTTCAGACGAAGTAGAACCGTCAATCATTCTCTAAACAAATGTAAGGCTATCTGATGTAATGTCCATCAGACTGTCTCATGATGTGGACTCCCCGCACACCAAATCTCAGCCACCCTACCAGAACGGTCCGAGCAGACACACTTTGTGTAGAGTGAAGTTGTCAAACATCATCAGCAGTTGAATCCTTCCCTTGTGCCTTTTGCTCCCACTTCTTCTCAGAATCTTTTCAAATTCAGGGAGAATTACATGTTACCTCAAGTGCTTTATAGCATCTGACTTTTATTAAAACCAAAGGAGGAACCAGGCCCAGCTTTAGACCGAATGCATTGCACAATCTTGAAAAGAAATCAAGCAGAAGGATTTTCCAGTCAAATTAAACCAGGATTATTCCAGGTGATACTTGTGTCAATGACACTTCGAACCAGATATTCATACTGGGGGAACACTTGTACTGTAGAGCTGTGATCATATCCTCACACACACAAGGTCTTTCGCACATGATTGAGACCTGCACATATTTATATTAAATATGATTTATCCATTGGGTGAACAAATCAATTCTCATTTTGGAACTCAGGTTAACTTGTATGCAGATGATGACCTTCTCTATTTACAGAACTCAGAGAAAAACTGTCCTTTGCTTTGATCTGATGCCATATGAGTTACTTCAATTCATATGAAGAGACACAAATGCCTCTCAGGTGAAAAGCAAGAAAATATGGAATAAGTGAACATAAAGATATAATGCAAATGGATAAATATCCAGCCGTTGTCTATGGAGAATGGTCATGATAATGTATCCTCTTCTCATGAATCTTGTCTGAATGTGCTCTCTCTGTCTCTCTGTCAGCAGGGAGAGGTGCAGAGCTTCAGGCGATCAAGTCAGAGCTGACTCAGATTAAAGGAAACATCGAGGCTCTGCTGAGCAGACTGGAGCAGATCACAGAAGACACACACATCACCGCCACAGGTGACACACACACACACACACACACACACACACACACACACACACACACACACACACACACACACACACCAATAATGCGATCTTAGTGGGGCTGTTGTGGACTGAGGTGTGTTGTAAAGAATATTCCCTGATTATGTTATACGCCAAATGTGATTACAGGTATGCTCAGAACTCCAATTCACCTAATAAGTTACTAAGTTACAGAAGTTCTCTCTTGTTTGGCAGCCTAATGTATGTATGTTACAAGTTATGACAAACAGCTACATCATATGTGGCAGCTCTTAAAATAATATTTGATATATTCTCAAACATTCTTTCTATATTTATAAAAAAAATTCCCCATATATATATATAAGTTTCATCCCATACATCAAAAGTGGAAACACTCGTACTATAAAGCTGTGATTATATCCTAATGCTAATAAGGTCCCGCCGGGCACATATTTACATATGTTAATAATTTATTTGTTGATGAAGAAATTCTCTAAAGGTAACACAAGTTAACTTATTTGCAGACGATGCGCTTCTCTACCTATAGAACCCAGAGAAATCAGTCCTTCGTCTGACCTTAAGAGTCTGCATGCCATTGAGGTACATGTTATTCTGTGTGACTGGCGAAGCCACACACAGTCTAGTATTCGACATACTTATCTCATCTTATTCTCCTTCTTCCGCCACAAATTTTGTCATGCTACTTGTCCGGCAGTGTTGACACGAAACACACAAAAAACACATCAAAACGTGCGGAATGACCGGGATCGGGTTGCTATGTCTTTTATAAGAGATTTGCCTAGCCGTTTTCACGCAAATCGCAGGAAACTGCGATCATTTGCCCCATAGGAATGAATGGGAAATCCATTTGAACAGAGCTCAAAAACACCCCACTTTGACCCCATACAGATTCCGCATACTTTAACGTAGAACAAAGATTAAACGGTTCTCGAGACTATGGATTTTACAAGACTAATTGGATATGTTTTGATAGCTAGTACTGTTCTCACGTAGTTGCAGCTTACGTTTTGTGAAAATGTCCCACTGTTTCACATTTTATAATGGGAGAGCTCGTTAAGACGTAGAGTGGGTGACATCACGGCTAGAGGGGAGAGGAGCTGTAAAATCTGAAAAATTGTTTTCCAACTATTGCTCAGCTGGCCACAATTTTCACTCTTGACACATCATTTGGTGATCATAATGTAGGGACATTTGTCACGGCCCGCACCGATATGCTCATTTAATCAAACGGACTTACACATATAGCAAACACGAGAGTCATCAGGTGTGTTCATCTGGTATCCTAAATACTCTGGGTAGGATATTTAGCTGATTGGAGTTACAGTTTTTTACTTAGAAGCAATAATGCAGCACACTATTGTTAATACATTCTCTGACAGGCTGTCTCTCGTTCACTGGCAGGGCATTGCCATGGAAACGCTTTGATCTTTGAACACAGCTATCTGTCGTTAACTAAATCCAGTGGTAATCTAAAGATGTTCAGAAACGATTCAGGAATGTGGTACAAGAATCAACAAATGTAATAGATAAACAGTTCAAATAGTCAGCTAAAAGTGAGCTAAAATTAATGGATATTCTTTGTTGTACCTTAACAATACAACTAATGCTATTAATACTTACTCAGCGGGGGTAATGTTCTGGCTTCGCCAATTTTGATGTGTTTTAGTGCCTCCTTCTGGTTACTTCCCATACTGCATAAAGCAGTTCTTTTTAGTTCCCATGTGACAGGAAGTTAGCTCGAGACATTTTAGAATGGCATGTGTGCTCCAGCGAAGGTGATGTCTGTTTATCCTGTGCCATCCATCTTTCATAGCCCGTGAAAAGGCATTAACTTTTCACACTGCTTGCTAAGTAAAGCTTCTAAACATCACCTCGTTGTCCTGAGTTTTGCTGTGTGAGAGTGTTTATCTTGCTGGTTAACCTGTTAAGCCCTGAGACTGTTTTTCAGGTTTCAGGCTCGAAAATGACATGCCCAGAACAAATGACTATATCTTCACGTAAATTAATAATCTTTTTTCTCAAAGCAATGATAAACCTGTGAGTTGAATGTAGAAAAGTCAGAATCAATATAGATGTTTTCATTTTAAAGTCAATTCAGATTGAACATAGTAAAAAAATGTAAATTATAGTTTCCGTCCAAAAAAAACCCATGACTTACTGTATAGTGAAAACCACCCTTGAATGATGGGATAGTAGACAAAAAGCTTTAGGAATCGAAACTATAACATATAATAAGTACCCTGTATGAAGATTGATGCAAAACAAGTTAAAGTTGACCTTTTTAGAGAGGTTTAGAAAAAAAAACCTACTTCTGGGGTCATTTGGGTGTATTTGCCATATCTCTGGAACCCATCGGTCGATTTTGGTGATTGACACCACTTTTGAACCGTTAGAGCCAATAGAATTGAGGGGAAGTTCCTAAATCCATCTAAACATTACCCATTGGTGAATGAGTGATGCGCAGCCAGCAAGCCCAAAACCGGAAGCTGGGTTACAGCTCTCGTAGCTCTCATAGCAGCTATATATGAAAACTACGTTTTTGACCTAAATGTTATGATGGATTATCAGTAATAATTTCAAATGGACACAGAGACATTGGATTAACGTTCAGCAGTGTTTGTATGCGTTTCAATGCCATTGAACACATCTTTTGATCAGAAAACAGCAAAGGTAAGAAGTATTTGCCGTTTTGGCACCGTAAAGCTAAGTTGTGTGTTGTCTGGTTTCGCCTTCGCTCCCGCGGGTTTTGGTCGCACAGTGATGATACTTATACCATTGGAATCTGTGGAGTCTCAGCTTTCATATGATATCTTGTTTGTGCAGATCCAATGAAGTATAACATATTTATACCGTGAGTTATATGCTAAGTGCGTTAGCACTCGCGGGCGGGGCACTGGGCTTAACCCTCTGAGACCCACATAGGACATTTCCGTTTTTGTATATTTTTGTGTTTTGCCTTATAAATTGTCATTTCTTTACAGTATAATCAAGTTTTACACATCCCAGAAATCAGCACAACCTCAGCTAATGATATATGTCACTCATTAGAGACTTATATACACTATAATAGGGGATATTTGCCCATAAATAAAAAAGAAATAAAAAAACGGAGCTTGAATTTTTTACTTATTTCATTAAAAAGAACTGCTAACCATAAAATTGAAAGAAACATTCAATACAGAAAATTGCACACATTTATTATCATTGTATCAGAACTGATTAGAAGATTCTAACTTATTCTGTTCATTAGTTATGCCCATTCTTTTGGGCAGTGTCCATGGGCGTTTTTTTGCAAGGAATTGTAATTTTTTGTCCTGCCAATTTTGAAGACTACACACGATATATATCATGGGAGTTCCTGTCCACAATCACACATGGCATGCTGAGCAGATTCGTCTGAATTTTCATCGACATCGTCACCTTGAAAAATCAGCTCCAAAGCCTCAGCTGTAGTAAACTTATTTGCCATACCTCAGTCTACTTTTAAGACACTAAAAGAACGTATTCCAACTTTTATTTTGTTTTCGCGTGTGGAATTATACCAGTAATGTTAGCATCGGGACGCGCACCCAAGTTTCAGTCACACAGTCAAAATTTCTCTGAATGTTCTAGTTAATATTAAAAGACAACTATATAGTCCTGCATATGACCCAAACTGTATTTTTATGGATTTTTTTCTTGATTTGGTTTGTTTCAAACAAGAAAACAATTTTTACCGCAGAAAGGTCAGTGTAAAATCCAGCAGCCACCTTGTCTGCTTCTTGAAGGCCCATGTGTTTCTCTATAAATCAATTCAACAATTATAATTTGCATAATTTTTACATTATTTATTGTTTATCACTCCATTATCCTTGGTGACCTTTGTGAAAGCATCTGCATTCATTGTGATTGTGCGTTCCTTTAATTTCTCATGCATCTGTTTATGCAAAATGTAAAGTTTGTTTTATACCATGGATGTCATCATAAATTTCAAAAGTGTCAGAAAGCTAAAACACAGCAATCCACTCCGAGTCCAGATAGGCTGTTGTCGATCACTGTTCTTACCTAAAATTAAAACAATATGATTTGTATGTAATTCACAAATGTGTGAGCCAGGGTTTAAAGCTGCCTCTAAAGGGGTTAGGCTAACTAGTATAATGAGCAATAAAGTCTGTCAACAAGACAAACAGGCTTTTTAATGTTGCTGCTCTCTCGACCCCATGCCCACAGCCTTGGTCAAAGCAGCCCTACCCACCATCTGCCCCATCATAGTAGACATAGGGAACTTTTCAATGTCATCTGGCATAGTACCACCCAGCCTCAAAACTGCCTCAGTCACTCCTATCCTCAAGAAGCCTGGTTTGGACCCGGAAGACCTGAACAACCACCGGCCGATCTCCAACCTTCCTTTCCTCAGCAAATTCCTGGAAAGAGTAGTTGCCGCCCAACTCCAACACCAAATGTCGAACCATGACCTCTATGAACCCCTTCAGTCTGGCTTCAGACCCCACCACAGCACAGACACTGCCCTCATTAACATCACAAATGACCTCCTCATTGCTTCTGATTCCGACCTCATCGGCATTCTCATCCTCCTGGACCTCTCTGTCTCCTGTGTGCTCCACTTCCTCCTTGACGAACCGGTAACTTTTGTTAACCCGTTTTGGTTTAAAAACAGAATAAGGTTGGTCTTTTGGTTTTCCGTTTTTCCGTTTTGGTTTTAAAACAGAAAAACAGAAAAACCACACCGGTTTTTAGTTTTTCCTATTCGGTTTTGAAACGGAAAAACCAAAGAATGAACCATACACGGATTAAACATAAAGTTCTCCTCATATTTTTCAAAATTATTTTTTTATAAAAGTAATCATCATATATATATATATATATATATATCACCTATACAGCACCTTTGGGAATGTAGTGTTTTGATCACAACGACGTTTTTTGACGAGTGTGGGGCTCGAACCCGTGTAACTCGAGGTGACATGAGTGGGGGGCGAACGCACTTA